CAATGTATTGATAACATGCAAAAAAATAACAATAAAATGCTTAGAAACCGGATTATTAATTCATGACCGTACCGAAGGTGCTATTTTTGTAGTGGAACTAACCACCTATCAAAAGCAGTAACCGTAGAAAATGATTAAGTGCTGCGAACCACACATTCACTTCTTAGGAGCGGCCATGATGGGGATGGACCTTTTCTGCGTCCTGACCCTCGATACTCTTTGGCGCTTCCACGGATAAATGACCCTTGTCGTCGAGCTGAGTACGAATTGCCTCCAGGTCGACATTCTCAGGCAGCAACCATTTGCGGGTGAATGATCTGAAATGAGCGAAGCGATCAATATCTATCTAATTAACATCTGCCAATGGAGTAAACGGTAGGACTCACCTATACATGGCGCTGTTCTGCGATTTGTGCTCTTGCTTGCCTTCGATGGTCAGCTCACGCCCCTCCAAGTGCACATTCAACTGTCTGGGCGAAACTGCGATACATCCAACGAAACGGCGAACTTCTTGTCGTCATCCACAAGCTGCAATTACCATCAATTTTATTTTGAATGGCTAATGGCTACCATGAAAAATCAAAAAATGGGGCTGTACCTCATTGCCCAGGCCTACCGCATACCTGCTGGGTTTCGTTTGCCACATGAAGCACGGAATGATCAGCTTCTCTCCAATAAGGGAAAATGCTTCTTTCGAAACGATCCATATCCCTCATGGTATCGTACACCATACGGTTCATCAGACGATTCACCGGCCACAAATCCATCATATTGATCGATTGAATGTGCGCTGGAACGATTTTATTGATCAGCTGGCTCCGATCGCGATTTCTAGGCGAACGGGCAGGGTCCAAATCACGAGTACAACTATAATAACATAGATGCGCGGACATAGGCTACTCAAGGTCAACGACCCAGAGCGGATATTAAAAGAAAAGAACTTGAGGATTCAGGAACACAGGGTTTTTTACAGACATTTCGATGATTTCCCCTAGCACCACCCCATTCGATGTTAACGGGCTATGGTGGGCCCAGCGCGGTTGCTCTCCCCTTTGCTTACTGCGCCGATCAATAGAACTTCGAACAGAGAAAGGTATGAAATACAATAGAAAGGTTGGGCCTTCCTACAGGAAACGCAGAAAAAAAACATGCCACGATGCCGATAGCCCCCGTCGTAGTCCCACTCAACTACATAAATTGGCACTCTTGC